GATTAAAAGTAAGCTTTGGTGTTGTCTTTCTCAAAATGACTTCTAAATTGAAAATCTTAGTGGATAAAAAAATACCAGAAAAATTCAACTCTTAAAAACAATTAAAATTACACCTTGTAGAGCAATGTCTCATCTTTAGTAATCAGTTGGTTTCATATCACTTTGCACATCCAATTCAAAACACACATAAATAAAAAAAAGAAAAGAGGGTCTACATTGTCCATTTTGTGCAAAATTGTTCAAATTTGAATTGCTGACCTAGCAAATAAAAATCACCAGCTGAATCCCATTTTAAATCAAACTGATTTCGTCAGTCAATATTACACAATATAAATCTTTTTCTTATATTTTCTTTAATGATGCATTTTAAAACTGTATAAAGCAATTATTTTAACAAACTTGAGAACTGACAGAATAAAACAATATTTTATTTTGCCCAAACTGTCACTGCTCAAATCACTTTCAACTCAACTGTTGTTTTTATACATTTTCTTTAAAAAAGAACCCAAACAAAACAAAAATAAAACATCAAACTTATTTCATACTAGCAGTAGAGCCCGGCATTGCCCGGGGATGTAACAGTAAGAGATAGATCAAGTATCGACCATCATAAGGACTGAAAAATAAAATTGACAAAGATTATTGTTTAAGGTTGACGGACACGCATGTCTTAATTAGTTTTTTTTTTTTTTTTACGAATTGGTCAAACCCAAACTTAAACAAAAACATTGTTTTCAATCGTTATGAGTCTACTGATTGAATAGAATTTTATTATAAACAATTGTCTTGTAAATGGAATTTTTAAAGCATTCTGAATGTAAAAATAAAGAAAAAAGTGTGCAAGACAATAAGAAACACTACCTGCCAAAAAAAAAGTGAAGTTTTGTTGAAATCGGTTGAAAAATGTAGGAAATCTGATGCTATATATAAACGAACACACACACAAACAACCTGGGTTTTATAATAAGTATAACTCGATATGAGTTGTCCCCCTTCCATTCTCGCGTTGCCTCTTAATCATGTTTTCAAATTGATTTTGTGCTAAAACAATTGTGTTTTTCCAATTTTTGGTGCTGTCAGCACCACTGCAAGGTAATTTTACATAGTCCTGTGAAGATTTGTTGGAATCGGTTGAAAAATGGAGGAAATCCGATCCAATATATAAACGAACAGACACACACACACAACCTGGGTTTTATAAGTATGATTATAAAAAATACACTGGATATATTTTCAGTTTGTAAAAAATTGAGAAAAATTTTTTAAAATTATCCTGTTTTCCTTCTAATAGTAATTCCTTTCATTTACAATGTGGTTGGCAATATTTTCTCCAATTATTTCATTAAATGAAAAATTTATTTATTTATTTTCTTTAAAAAAAAAAAAAAAAAAAAAAAAAAACAGGATACATTTTGTAAAAAAATAAAATAAAAATTTGCTGTACTTTGGCTTATGTGTTCAAAAAAATTTGAAAAGTTAAGTAATTTTCAAAATGTAATTTTCAAAATGCAATTTCCATTATTTATTTTTTTATTATTAGTTTTGTAATTCTATATATCAGGTCCTATTTCAGAGGTTAAAATGAAATGGATACATTTTCTTAAAAAGAAAATAATATATTTTATTTTTATAGTTCTTAAACTTTTGCAAACAGGCAACAGGCATTGTCTTTTCATATATTTTTTCCTTAAACATTTTGCGGGACACTTGTATGATTGGGTAAATATTAGTCAAAATTATGTTACAGGAATCAACACTTTGGTTTAGATATTAAATATTTATGGGCTCCTGGAACATTTATCCTGCAAACAATATTGGCAAACTCAAGATGAGTCTAGGTAAAAATAAATACACAAAACAATAAATATAAAACAAATGACAGTTACAGCACTATTTCAAACTGGTTAGCTATCCCTAGATATACAGAACAGTCCATTATAAAGTTTAAACAGCTTCGCATGACAGAATTTGCCTGGGCTTGGAAGAAAACCCAAATTGTCACCGAGAACTGCACAAAAACTGTGTTGCAAGGTTAATATAAACCCAAAGGTTGTTTTGAAAGACATCGCCAAAAGTTTGGATATGATAGGCATCAGCGTAAGTATGGTGGAATAATGGATAGCCGCTCGGATTGAGGAATCGGAGAGCTGAGTTCAAATTCCAGTTGAATCCATTATATTCACTTATGTGCTAATAACATTGGGAAAAGTATGAAACCTCTTCTTCTCTCCCCAGCTATGATTAAGTAGCAGGACAGACCGGGATCTATAGCTTTGGATGGCAACTAGTCTTCCGCAGAAAGAAATGGCAACCTACTTGTGGTAAAAAATCTACCTCATCAGTCATGTACTGAAAGATGCATGATCGCCTAAGCATGTATCACGTATGGTACATAACTAACCTGACTTGCACAATACAACATTGTTTAAATAGAAATGGTTTGTATGGAAACTGACCACAATGTACCCCACTTCACAAACCATGTCACACTGTTGCTCGGTTTAATTTTGCCAAAATGTTCTTGGACAAAGAAAATTGCTTTTGGGAACAAGTACTATGAAGTGATGAAACAAAAATTTAACTTTATGGACATAATGATGTACAGAAGATTTGATGCAAGAAAGGTGAGGCTTTCCTCCCAAAGAACACAGTGGCAACATTAAAACATGGAGGCAGCTAAATCAGTGACTGCATGGCTTCAGAAAAAGAACATTACAGTTCTGCCATGGCCTTCAATGAGTCCCAATTTGAATCCTATTGAAAATCTATGGCAAAAATTGAAAGTTTGAATAATTTGTTGGTCACCAAAAAACCTTCAGGAATTAGAATGTGTAACCATTGAAGAATGGAAGAAAATCCCAGAAAAAACTTCAAATCTCATCAAAAACTTTAGAAAACAACTGCAACAAGTTATAAAGATATGACATCATGCTATTGAGTATTAATATTGTGAAAATTGTTCAATTTTTTCTGTTTTTCATACTGTACAAATAATTTTGTCTTTTCCTATTTTGCATAATTCACCTGTCAAATTTGTTGTAATTAACTTATTGTTCTGAAAATTGAGTTTTATATTCCTTTTTTGTGTGCTTATTAACATATAAAAAAAACCTGGCATTATACGAGCATTAGATTCTGAGAAATGGATAAAAATATTTAAAATTGATGGGTGTACAAATAATTTTGTCGTTAACTGCACATGTGTATGCAATTGTAATAAAAGGAAAAAACATTAAAACAAGTTATAAGCAAAATGTGTGTGTATATGTACATGTGAGGGAGTACAAAAGTCAAAGGAGGAACAAAGAAGCGAATGCACTTTGATGGCAATGTTCCTATCTATGTGTGATTACATCTAAAAAGAGCTGTAAAAGTTTATTTACCTGGTTGCCCCATGAGATGTGACACAAGGTCAAGTTTAGTGTGGGGAACCTAAGCACATACACTTTGACCAAAAGTCAAAATCTACCTAGCCCCTCCAATCACAAGATCGGGTACATCTATGATCTATTCTTCTCAACTGAGTCTCCATCTGTAGACAGAGTCCTGGGTTGTACCTCTTGTTAAAGAGGGTGAATGAGAATACCATTGCCTATTTATAGGCTTAAAGAGCGCCCTTTAGTGAGCATTTTGGCACAGTCAAGTAAGGTAACCCACAAGCAGTTATGGAAAATAATAGTATAACATCATCATGTTTTTTTTATTTAAATTTTTGAAAATCAAAGTTGACTGGAAAGCAATAAGCCAGAAGTGATTCCCACATGTGAGAAGTGCAATAGAAGAAACTGTTAGCATAAAACTTATAATTACATTTAGTCATTTCAACTGTAAAATGATGAGACCTTGTCAATCCAGTACTGTGCTTAAATTCATCAAGTCTATGTACCATAGAGAAAAGTTCATCAGAATAATTACCATGAAAGTATTTATAAAAAAGACAAAGGGAAGCTATGTCATACCTTTGTTATGGTGGTGAGAAAAGGACTGAAGCTAAGTTGTCAGTTCATGACCAACAACAGTACCTGCCAAGTTCAGCATCGAGTGACAGATTGTTTGTGATGGTGAATCCGAGGTAGGTAAATGTATTTACTTCTAGTGTGTAGTTGATGAAATTGATTTCATAAAGGGCTTTAGTGCCATGGACTATCATTCTTTTTTGTTTGTTCAGGTTGATTGTTAAACAGAAGTCCTTGCATTGTGGGTTACCCCACTTTACTAAAAAAAACTGTCACTAGGGTGAGAACTGTCACAATGGGTGAGAATATCATTGCCTATAAATAGGCAATGATATTCTCACCCATTCTCTTTTCTCTCTTACAACTCCAGCTATAAGATGTAGTTGCATGTGATAAAAAAAAAGTGTCCCCCACACTGGGGCACATTCACTTCACTTTCAGCCTATTACTTATCTCTTGGCCTTCTCCTTCACAAACTCCATAAACACATTCTCTAGTTTAAATGTTTTCTTCTTCTGTCATTGTAGCTTGTTTTATATACTGTTTTGTATTACTCATTTATTACGTGGACTCACATTAGAGTTCGCAGTAAATGTTACAGGAAAATATACCAAGAGACGTGTTTTCTACTTAAACACAACAAGTATTCCCGCAACAGCATACTTGAATGAACTTGTCCATGAGGGCTTGCAGGTGCTCCAGATGTGCACTGTTGCTGCTGCATTGTCAGCAAACAGCCTTTCCTGAATGACAAATGGTCAGACTGTTGTTAAGTTATATATGAATTATATAAAAGAATAGGTTTTCCTTATTTCTGAAGAAAGAATAAATAACAAAGGAGAGGAAGAAGATTTGATATAAAGGTATTTTTAATTTTTATTACTTGAAAGTGCCTGCAATAATTAGGACAAAAATTTGGAGGAAAGTGCAAAGGTCATCTGATTATTCTGTGGATGAAAATTAAATCAGAGAGGCAATGCTTGTTGCTTGTCGCTCTTCTCAGAAAAACTTATTTTTTAAAAAGGTAACAAGAGTCAAATTTACCTTTCCCAATCAGAAGCTGTTGTAAAATCTGTAATTTCAAAAACGTCTGTATCCTGTAACATAAAAAAGAAACAATGAAATATACAAAAAAGTTATATTTGGTGGATGGGAGCTGCAAAGTTTCTAACCCAACACACTTCCAAAAATTTGAATAACCAAACAATTAATTTTTTGGCAATCTTTAACCTTTGTGCCCACAAAAAAAAAAAAAAAAAAAAAAAATGGTGTGTCAAAAGGACAGTTTTTCCCTTCACATCACTATTATTTTAATTATCTTCACTCCTCAACAATGTTTATTGTTTTAAAAAGTGATGATTAGAATTGTAATAAAACCTAAGCATATGAAAGTGAATTTCTACATTTTTTTTTGTTTTTGAGAATTTATTATATTGTTTATTGGACTGGTTGGCAAAACATTGGATAATTGCCAATTGCGTTGAACTTTACAAAATGGTAAATAATAAGGATTTCCTTATAGTTCGTTCACTTATTTTAATAATTTAGTAAATGTTTATAAATTTATGAATAAAAAATTATTTTCATATTTATTTCTTTATAAATTGGTAAATGATAAATATTACATTGCATTAGTTTTTAGAATGTTGCAAATATAAAATTATTCTTGTAAATAAACAGTCTAATAAAAAGTTTTTTAATATTTTTGTTTTTAATTCAAGAACAAACAAATGTATAAATTTACTTTCATCATATGTTTAGGTTTTATTACAATTAATCACTTTTTAAAACAATAAACATTGCCAAGGAGTGAAGGTAGTTAAAATAATAGCAGTATCAAAGGAAAAACTGTCCTTTTGAGATTCTGTTTTTTTTTTTTTGTTTTTTTTGCAGGCATGAAAAATTGTCAATTTTTTTGGTGGGTAGGGATTCTCTTTGTCAGGCTGAGAACTTTTCAGCATCCCATCATACATATAAAAAAATTATAGATAAAGCAGCTAGACAAGACAGACAACAAATTAAGTATTTGATCACAATCACAAGTCTGATAATATTAGGGTTGTAGAGACACCACTTGTACTGCAGCTCCAGTACCAGTGAGTTTCCAAGGCAATATAGCCTGACGGAGCCAATTCCTCTTCTTCAGTCTTCAGATTAGTTTTGAATTCAGACTCCTTCTTTTAAACAGATTGCCATGTCTACCCCTCTGCCTTATCTAAAATAGATCAAATATTAAATTAATTTTTGATTTTTTAATATTTTGAATTTTCTGTCTGCCTCAGTAAACAATAAAATTCTATTCAGTTTATTAATTAAAAATAAATATAAATTAACTTCAGTTATTGCAAATTTTCTACATCCCTGAGTGTGGGCAGGCTGTTGGGGAATGAGCGCTTTTAGCGAGACACCTTCCTCCTTTGACAGATTGTAAACCAAAGCTAAAGAAAGAACCTTTCTGTCCATTATGTGAGGACAACCATCAACGACTTCTGAACAGTACCCCATCTACCCCCAGTTCATTCACAAGGTTTCAGTCAACCCATGGTGTGGTTTTCCGGCAATGGTGCTGTACAATGGGGTCGTCTCATCAGGTCAATATTATTATCAATCTATTTTATAAATCGACCATGGTTAGGATTATGGTTAAGATAAGAATCAAACACAGATCTCATTGTCTGAATGCTAACGCTTCGACTTGGCTACGCGCCCATAAAAAAAAAAAAAAAAAAAAAACAAAACGAAAAAAAAAAAAAAACGAAAGTTATTTATAAAAAAAATCCATGAGGTAAAAAATAAATAAAAGAACAACAGAAAGCTAACACATTAATTAAGAAAAAAAAAAAGTAATGTTCGCAAAAAAACACACTTAGTTACATAACAAGTTATACGCCAGTAGTAAATGCGGTTTTTTGTTGTGAACATTACTTTTTTTCAAAAAATGTGCTATAAAGTAACTAGAGATGAGTTATATTGTAATTATTTACAATATTTACATTGTTCGGACTATTGATCTCATCTTTGTTGCCATATTCACGACGTGAAATAAAGAGTTCAGTTCGAAATTCCAATCACCTGAAGAAGTACATGGACCGAAACGTTGTGACAACAAAGATGAAGACAACAGTCCAAACAATGTAAATATTGTAAAAAATATATATAATGTAATTTTAATAAATTTTCCCCAAATACATCATTATTTAAGTCAGTTGTCAACAAATGGATATTTTTTTGGTAGCCAATAAAATCATACAAAGAATGTCAAGTTGTAAAAATAGTGCTAAGCACAAAAACAAAATGGAAATATTAATTTAATTAATAAAAAAAAATTAGAACATTGTGTTTTTCAATAATGAGAACTTTAAGCAAGAGTAATGAATTTAATACTTAAGTAAAAATATCAGATAATCAGATTCTGAATTGTCCTAAAATAACAGCAGAACAGATTTTGAATAATTCTTTAAACAACCTCTTTGAATGCCAAACCAATGCCAAAATATTATTTTCTAATAATAATGTCAAACGAGAATTCTAACTCCACTTGTCACAAACACAATTTAATAATATCTGAAAGCGATTTTCAAAATATTTTCAGATTTTATTTGTAGAATTTACGGTAATTTAACATTTATTTTCTCAAATACCCAAACCCAAAAAGTTTTCAATATGGTTAAGAAAGAAGAAGAGGTCATATGACGAAATAAGTTTCTGGTACTTTTATTAAGAGAGAGATTGAAGGAAATCGTCATTTTTTTTTTTAATTAAAGTCAACAAAAATAATTTAAAAGGTGTTGACAGCTGTTTTGAAAATAACAAAAGAAAGTGACAGTAATTATATTACAATATTTTTATGGCAAAATCTTTATTTAAAAATGAAGGACGTAAAAAATAAGCAAAAAAAAAACAACAAATATTTATTAATATCAAAATTATGGCAGAGAAATCCATTATGTTTGAAACTATGTCGGATTTTACAAGCAGAAAAGTACCTTTTTTACAGATATTTTTAAGATTGCTGAGTCTTTTTACTTTTTAATTAAATCTAAAAATTACTTCCTACAAATAAAAAAAAATAATTTAAATTAAATGAAAGTTAACGTATTTTAAGATGTTATTGTTCAAAAGTTAACATATCATGATGAAAATGATTTTAGACAATTTTTAAAGATATTTATTAATAATCTGAATAATACAATTTCAAAACCATTTTTTGCTTAATTTTTTTAAATTACTTGAAAAATATTTAGAAAAACAAACGATCCTAGGCTATAAATAAAACAAATATAAAAAATCTTCATAAATAAATCCTTACACAAATATTAAACATCCAAAATTATCTTATATTTAAGTGAATTAATTTTAAAAAAATAGGAAAATTAGAAAGACATCTTGTTGACAAATTTTTACAATTTTTTCCTATTTTCATTTACAGCGATGACGTTGTTTTCAATCAATTATTCATTAAATGCGATTGTGCTGTGTCATTCTTCTATAATAAATAAAATATTGCACAGAATAAATAAGCCAGATAAATTGTCAATGAAGGTTGTTCATAAAGAGCAAAGAAAGAAATATCTCGAGGCATTCTAAAGGAAATTATACAATAATTAAAAAACATGTAAACTGAACTTACGTCGTCAGCAGCCATAGCTGCAAATACAGGAAATGAATGCAAGGGACACAACTCTATTTCAACGTGTGATTGTCGCTTGTCAATCGTCAGAAATCTTACACTCCCACATGATTAGCAATTATATGAAAATTATCAACAAGCCAGATAAAAGTTAGCAAAAACAGTTTTACTTAAAAACTAAAAGATCAGATATATTCATTTCACACCATGATTTATTATCCAATTCTTGACTTTATATTGATTTATTTTGTGTTAGCTTCTTCAGGACATAGGCAATCATGCCTCTCTAAAAATTCCTGTCTTTTGTAGCTTTTAATAAATTTTGTCTTTTTGTCATTTCTCCACCATACATTTAGTCAATCTCACTAAATATGTTAGGCATTGGTTTCTCTGTCCCTCTTGCTTTCAATCTATCCTTTGAGTATCAGATTTTCCAAGCCCACCTTCCTCATTATGTGGCCTAGAAATTTCAACTTTCTCTTCCTGATGTTGAGTATAAGTTTCCTTTTTGCTTTCATTTTTTGCTTTTGGTCCATGGTATCCTCAGCATCCTTCTGTAGAACCACATTTCTATTGCTTCAAGTCTCTTCTTCATCTTTGAGGAGATTGTCCAGCATTCACTGCCATATAGGAGGACAGATATCACACAGCACTCTTTTCTTCGTTTTTAATGAAATTTTCCTGTTTACAACAACTAAAAAAGGTATATCAAATGGAGCTTGAAGAGGAAATGACATAATCAAGATGTTGACATTCCACACTACCTCAAGTAAAATGTTAGGAAGGAAACCCCCATCAATACTGGAAAGAGCAATAACAGTTACTGGACTTGAGAAATTGGTTTTCCTAAAAAAAAAATTTTTAAGAAAGAGATTTTATAAATTTCAACTGATCATAGTACAAGCTGCTTAGTCAATGAATGTCAAATGTTTTCTTATAAGGAAACATCTAATATTACCATTACTATTAACTGTTAATATATTCTCTTTTCAGAAATGGAAAAAGTACTATGCATATTTAATTTTTACTAAGAATTTAATTGTAAAAAATATTTAAAAGCCAAAACTATTTTAGGGCATTTTCAATAAGTGATATTTGAACATGTGATTTTTGTGACTGAAATTTATGATATCTATACATATTCTGAATGAGTTGGGATCAAATACAGATCAAATATGGGTTATAATCTGACAGAATGATAAGATAAAGAACAAACAGGAAATGTTAATCAATCTAACATGTTTCACTTTTATTAAAGCTTCATTAGAGAATGAGATATGAAGAAAAAAAGAAAGAAATTCTGGTATTTTTGCTTTTGTGTTGTTTGATTTTCATTGGTTAATACTCTGAATTGTAATATTTCAATATAAATAGTAGTAAATAGGTTCACCTATCATCCAGTTCATACTCCTCCCTGGTCATAGAGGTTTATCCCTTGTTTCCTGTTTCGGATTGTCTTTCCACTTGTTTCTAAAATCTTTTCATTCTCTTTCACTCCCAGTATACCCTTGCATCTTAGTGACATTATCGCCTTGCTTGGGGTGAACTGATTAAAAAAAAATGATTCATGTCTGGATTGTAAATTTTAAATGTTTTTACCTCAGAAGTGAAAATGGTGGAAAAATGATATACAAACAGCAAAAAAGTCATGTGTTGTTTATAGAGATGGTACCATAGCTGAGAGTACTGTTCATAAGTGGTTCACTAGGTTCATAAGTGGAAATTTTAATCTGGAAGACTAACATTGTTCCAGAAGACATGAAGTTGTAGATGATGAACAAATCTAAATGCTGACTAAAAATGATCCAGATCACATGACACAGAACATCACTGGTATATTCCATATATTTCATATTTGAAAACAGAATATCTGAAAACACTTGGATGCATGAACTATAATGTCTGGGTGCCTCACAATTTAACAAAAATCAATTTAATGAACCACATTTCTATTTGTAATTGCTCAAAAGCAACTAAAACAGTCTATTTTTAAAAAGAATGATAATCCACAGGTGAGGGAAAATAGATTGTTTACAACAATGTGAAGTGAGAAACCTCTTGAGTCTCCATTAATCACTCCAAAAGTTGGTCTGCATCCAATGAAAGTGATACTGCATATTTAATAATACTGGAGGTTTTCTGAGCTTCTTCTACAAAATCAGATGCTGAAGTCAGACAAGTACTATTGTGGAAGTTAAGAAGGTCATGGGTTTTGTGTGTATTTTTAGGTAGTGTGTGTGTTCGATATATAAAGAAAGAAGAAAGGAGAAACATACAAAAAAACTTTTATTTCTGCTATGGATGTTTATTTCTTTTATTTTGAATGTATTGGAACAAAGTTAAATGTTGCTTGAGTATGTCCATTTTCCTTTTTGGTTCAGAAATAATTTATGGGAAGTAAGGATATAAATGGGTAAAAATGGCTGAGCTCAAGTTAACTGAATTGAGATAGCTGAATTTCTACTTCATGAGTAGGGCTGCTGAAATACATCTGAATGATAGCGATTGAAAGTAGAAATAGAAAAATTCTGTCCTTTCTGGAAGTAGGGTCATAAAATCTCACATGTGACCAGAAACCCTTTCCAGTTTTTTAATAACTTGCATCATGGCATTTATGGGGGGGGCATGGTGGAATAATGGATAGCAGCTTTGGTTAAGGAATTGGAGAGCCAAGTTTGAATTCCAGTTGGATCCATTACATTTACTTACATGCTAGTACTCCTTGGGAAAGGTATGAATCCTCTTCTTCTCCCCCAGTATGGGTAAATAGCAGGACAGCCTTGGGTGGCAACCAGTCTAGGAGAAGGAAAAACTCTGAATTCAAAATTGGCCTGGAGAGGGTTGGGCTCCATCAGGTTATCTTGCCCAAGAAACACCACTTCTACTGCGGCTGCAGTGTGCATGGTGCCCCTACGACCCTATGGATCGTAGGAAAAAAAAGATCATGGGAAAACAGACTTAGTTATTTTTTTATTCTTTATTATTATTTTATTTATTGGTTTTACTTTCTTTTCCTTCACCATTCCTAACTGAATTGATTAAAGGCATCAGTTGATGAAAAGTATCCAGAATTGGCCAATCTGAATGATATTGTCTTCCATCACAGCACTTTGCAGACCCGGCAGAAATTGGTACAACTTAGTTGGGATGTTCTACTACATCCACTATATTCACCAGACATTTCACCTTCAAATTACAAGATTATTTCAATCACTATAAAATTATCTTAATGTGAAAAACTTAAATTCTCTGGAAGCCTGTAAAAACCATGAAGACCAGTTCATCTATAGTGGCATGGGGCTGAGGGGTTAAAATGAACAGTTGATTTACCCCTGCCAAGAAGATTAATGATGGATGATGAGGAAACACACTGGTAATCTTAACAAAACAAGGTAAGGAATTTATTCACAAATTTACAAGCTTAAAGTTGTGCCATTAGCTCGTTACAGGAAAATAAATTGGAATTCTTAAAGGTCCGTAGTTTTAACGTATTGTCATGAAGAGGAAATGTTCATGCAATAGATTAAATGATCTGACACAAAATTATATTAAAAAATGTTTAGCACTAAAGAGAGTCTATTGCTCAAGGAAGGGGTATATGTTTTGCATATGTTCAAAAATAGATGAAGAGAGTTTGAAATACTTAACTCTTAAATTGTTGAGAGAAAATTCTTTGAAGTCCCACATTGTAACAGTAGCACTGGGCAAGAAAATGAAATGAGAGCTCAGTGATGAGGAAATTGGTTTTTATTTCACAATTAACATTACAGCACTCATGGGTTCTTCAACATGAAACTAAAAATAAACAGTTTTCTATAAGCCGTGTCATACATAAAAACAATAATTTGAATACATAGAGAATTTCATATGTACTTATCTCTTTTTTGCCTAACATTTTCCTGCTGATGCAAACACAGTTGTTGCTACAATGACACCTGCTCTTTAAAGATCTGGTATATGTACACTTGTGAGAAAAAGAGAGGTAACTCACACTCATTTACACACATGCTGGTTAGAGACCAATAATATAATTTGGTGATAACTTCAACACTGGTCATGAGGAACTGAAAATGAAACATTTCACATGACTTCAGACACTCTTCTCTAATTAATTCAATTTTTCTCCTCATTTTTATATCAAAAAGAATTTCAAATAGATTTGCTACTTTCTTTTCTTCTTCTCAGCTGACCAGCTAATTTCTGTGAAGGTAAGACTTTCATTGGTCACAAAACAATTTCACATAGACTTGCAAATTTTTTTCCTCGACCTGAGAAGCTCACCTGTCAATTTCTGTGCAGACAAGTTATTGGTCCAAAGAAAATTTCACACAGGCTCACAAATTCCTTTCTTTCTTCTTCCTCAGTCTTTCGAATTTGAAGGGAGTGGGTGAAGGGAGTTATTATTATTTTGCACTCACTACACATCACCTAGAAAGATGCCAAATTCTGGAAGGATGGAATCATGAAGCTGACTCAAAGATGGTGAAAGATAGTGGAGCAAAACAGCACATATGTGGTTGAATAAATCTATGTACAAATATCTAAATATTGTCTTTGAAATTTACTTAAAAATATTACCAGTCATTCTTCCAAAGCAATATTTATGTGTATTTAATTTGTGGCTTATATTTTGTCATGGTGAAGTAGCCATGATTTGCCCTGCCACACCTCTTCCATAGGAAAAAAAGAAGCTATGGTTGCAGAAAGCTAAGATTATAGTTATATAATCTCAAGATATCATGTTAGATGATAACGCAATCTGCTTATCCCACTTTTAGCCAGAGCTAACACAGCATACCTAACCCTGTTACTTTTCAAATGGATTTCATATTTACATTTAGTGTTTAAGCTAAAGTAAAAGCTATAATTCCAAATACTGATTTTCAAGATAGGTATTCACCCCCCTTCTTGAAATTTTGTACAACACAATCTTTCTTCCCCATCATCGTTTATCTACTCACTTAATCTTGTGCCATTTTAAACTGAGCTTGATAAATATTAATAATAAATACATT